ATGCTGCTGTACACAGAGGGCTTTTGGTGCCTGTTGCTGTAGCAGTTAAAGCAGTAGGGATGACACAAATCCAGAGAGAGCAAAGAAACAGGAAAAGCAGCAAACTACATACAGCCTTGTAAAACTTACCTACTATTGAAATGAAGAATATCAGCAGCAAGTATAGGCTCGTTCTTGTTCATCAGAGTCATATGGAAAAAGTTTACAACATCCTTACTCCACTTGTGAAATGGTCCCATAAGCAATGAACACAGACACTCCAGGTTCTATTTATCTATCCTATTCAGAGGTCTGCTAGTTACAACTGCTATGTACCAGTATTGAAGAGGGTTATAGTCTGGTATCATGCACATTAGAATGTAGGTGGCAGGTGGTACATCATACTTGCTGCAAGACAATTAAGATTTTTTCAGGAGCTACAGGCTTCAAGCTTTTCTCTTGTTGAGAAACTATCTAAAGAAAAATACTCCATCAAAGCTTGAATCCAAAGCTACTTAGCACATCAGCCCCAAACAAACAGAATACTTAAGTATATGTTGATGCCTAAATCCACAAAAACTATGTATTTAATGTTTATTAGCTGCATAATTTTAACGTCAGGCTATTTAGTACCTTGCTTAAATTAATGAAAAAAATTCCCAGGGTTATATGAAAAGTGTTTCTAGAATTACAGAAGTTTAATTTTTTGACTTTTTATTGCAGCAAATGTCATCCCTGCTTCTGCAAGCTCTTGTGTTCAAGCGACTACTAGGGCAAAGCAAAAGGGAGTCCTTTTGAGCCCATAAATACAGGAGTTCTCAACATTTAACAGTGACTATTACTTAACTACTATGATTTGTCTTAAAAGCACAAAAGGAATTAAAGAAGTATGAGTTCTGTTTTGTGGCACAATTGGTGAGCAGCAGTTTAAGAAACATCCACTACACTTTACAATCTTTCTTCATACACTGAGAACATTTCAAAACCCTTTTACAGGAAGTTGTTCAAGAAAAATCCTTCTGGTTCTTAGAATAACTTGTCTAGTAAATCAACCATTGAGAATGCCCAGGAAATTTATATTTTGTTATTAAGTCTGAGTCCAGGGTGAGCTATGACCATGAACAGAAATTCTTATAAAATATAAAAATAAGAAAACAAAAACACCAAGTAAAAGCTTAGAAAAGATCTGTCTTCAGTGTAGAACGAATAAACTATCTCAAATGATAGTGAGTGATACCAATTTTAATATGTTTAAAAGCAGACAAAAAGCATCTAAAATGTCAAGACAAAACAAAATGTAAACCCATCCTTATTTTTATATGTTTATATGCTTTTGCTCCTGTCATTTTTGTTAGCTTTATGTCAAGCAATCTATTTCTGCATTTACATTAATGGCAAAATGAATTCATTAATTAACTGTAATCATACTGGAGATATATTTTATCTGTGGATGCTCAGCATGTATAACGGGTGGTTGCCATTAGTCAGAAAATGATTGAAGAATGAATCTACACCCCCCAACCTGCCTCGCTGCTGTTTGTGATGGAACAAATATTCTGCTGACACATAATCTGCCCCTTGCTGCAAGTTCATCTAACTTGCAATTAAGGTAAAGAAGCCCAGCATCCCTACTCCCTGTGCTTCTCCTCATTCTGAAAGCCTAGCATCCCTTCTAATAAACTTTCTACCTACTGAAGCATACTGCAAAGCCGGTGCTTGAGCATTTCGCAAGTAACCCCTTCTCATCTTCATACATTTCTGCTCATGTAGTTATGGGAAAAGGAGTATAAGTCAAACCAATGCCTAACTACATTATATTAGATTTACAATATCACAACAATTTCTGACCAGCCTACCTAATGGATTGAAAGTCTTGCATCATTTTAGTGGAGCAAAAAACGGAAAAAATCTGCAGACAAAGGACTGACCCAAACAATTAACTGTAGATTACCAGCAAAGACTTGGATATGGCTGTTAAAAGAATTTTCCAGTCCCACCCAGAAGAGTGGTCTGGGGATGAGCAGAGTTCTGACCTACACTGAGAAGGCAGACCCAAGGGTATCACCTGACCCAGCACCACACCCCTCACCAGTTTGCAGCTTATTGCACCCAGCAGGCTGTCTGTCTGCCCAGCCATCCCTTCCCCCACCATAACTTTCCACCTGGAACGCAGCAAGTTCCAGTTCATCCAGTCCACTACTACATCTTGTACACTGGCCTCTTCCAGAGGTGTCAGAGGAAGGTGTAAAAATTCCCATAAATAATAATTATGGAAAAAAAGCCTGCCCACAGGGAAAGGTTTTTCTCCATCACTCATGTGATTAGTGGTTGATTAAAGCCCTTAAGAGTGAAAGTTTATATCCCTTCTAAATTATTTTTTTGCCCCATGAGGTAACTATGGCTCCAGATTATATATTAATCCTACTAATCTTTTGGCCCAGGGATAACTTCCAACAATGTGTTTCATACAGTAATTAAGCATTGTATAAACAAGTACCAGATGTATCTAAGGCAAAACAAGCCACTGAAAAGAAGAAAACTAGGGTCTTCCTCTCAATGTCAGTGATCCAAAATACAAAATCACAACTGCCTGCCTGTTTCCTTATTTCTAGAATGACAAAATATTGTTTCTCACCTTAAAGAGATACCACCAAACTATTCATAACAACTGCCAAGGACAGACACAAACAACTTTTTGGACATCATGGTGTCTCCTTATGTTGTGTGATAACTAAGATGTGATGTTATTAAGCTCTAGCTGGTATTACTCTCCCCTTATCCTACCTAAGCAATAAGATGTCTGAAGAAATCCATGCACCCACCACTTCTGGAGAATATGGCCAGCTTTTAAAGGTATAAATCTTTCTAAAGCCAAATTTGGTTTGATCCTTTGGCTTGTACTTCTCTTGGGAAAGGTAGGCAGAAGTAGGATCCAGGGCCTGCCTTTGATTTTTATCAGCTTCTGAAAATCTAGTACCCTGCCAGGCAAAAGTTGAGAGGGTCCTGAGCTCCTAGAGCACAAGGACTGCCTTTGTAGAAAGCAAAGCCTGGGGGATTCAAGCGTTTCTTATGTCCTGTCATCTTTGCTTCCACAGCATCCTGATTCATAGCTGGGAAAGGATAAGATCTTTCTCCATGATGCAGTACTGTATTTTTTTTAAGTGCTAGTTGAAGGAGGAGCCTTTTAACAACAGAGTTATGGGCTGTTTCACCAACAAATATGAATTATTTTCCGTCCTCAACCAAAATGAAGAGGAGTCTGCATTTCCTGGAGTTGCATTTAGGGTCTTCAGCAAGAGCTTAGCTGTTTTACCCATCTGGAGACACACATTAGTAAGGAGAAAGCACATGCCATTTCCCTGCAAGTTTCCCAGTGTTTGCTGGCAAAGCAAACACTGAACTGCCTCCACCAGACAACAGGGACAGGATATTAGTTCATTGGGTTGTCTTGCTATTTGCAGTGGAAACGTATCTTGTTACAACAAGGCACAAGTTAATTTAAGCAGTCACAATAACACAGTTGCTGCACCACATCAGACAACTGCAAAGAATTCTGCTGGTTGTTCAAGAGGCCAGAAGCGGATTTCATGGTTATTCTGTTTCTGGCAAATCTCTACCTGTGTCACAACTATAATTTTCACCACATCAGACTTCTCTGTCATAACCAAAGTACTATTACTAATAAATGGGAATAGGACATGGATTATAGGTTGAAGAAACTTCTGTTTACAAAACATGTGCATTCAGAGTTCTCAATATAAGGAAAAAATAGCCACATCTACAAGAGAAGCAAATCGACAGATTTAATCATAGGTTTCCAAATCTGAACTTGGCATGAAGATTTTAAAAAAAGTAATAACTTCTTATACCACAATTCAGAGTACATAAAACAAGCTCTGCATTATTGTTGGAACTGAACCTCCCACAGTGCTTAACTTTCAGTGACCTTGTCCTACAAACATCTCTTTAATATGGCACATGCTAAAAATAATACAATTATAGTACTAAAAACTTACCTAAAATAAAAGAGGCAGTTAAGAGACATTCTTTAAGCCCTCTGTTAGATGACACAACCTGCTATGGGAGCTTGTAAGCCCACCTGGTCAGCAAACATTAGTTAAGAGGGAAAAACAAGTTAAAAAAGAAACCCTTTGAATTCATGAGCCGAAGTACAATTTTAGATACCAAAGAGAATTTAAAAGTGTGAAAAAGTCTTATCATACCAGAAAACAACATGATAGGTAGTACCTCCTGCAATATAATCAAAAGTCATGAAAAGGGCTATAACTGATGCAATGTATGAGTTATTTATTGAAGGACAGGGGGATGCAATCTCAAGCAACAGGTACCTGACGTAGATTTGTTCTTTGAAAGAGCAAAGCAGAGTATCTGCAGTTAACAAGACTACAACTTCTAAGGACAATGATATTTTATAACAGCCCTTTTTACATTTGATTCTGTCTTCATTAAAATGATTCACTAGTCCTACTTAAGACAGGTCTGTTTATACGTTTGTATACACATGCACATACATGGGTTGGAAAACAAAATAGAAAATAAATGTACTGTGCAACAAAGGTTAGAGAAGATTTTTGCTTTAACCTGACATTCATTTAAAGTACATTACAGCTGATTTTTAAGCTCATCTCTCTCTGCCTTTTTAAAGTTGGTGTTACTTGGTACGATTATGGTACCAGGTAATCTACATCTACGGTATTCCCCTGCACTAAACTGCAGACTTTCATCCTGTATCAGGATGACGTGTCATCCATTGAGAGTGTCAAGGACGGTCTGCCATTTGTAGCAATAATCCCAGTACCCTCAAGATGAACAGTCACGTTTACACAATGTCGGTTGTTCTATGTTCTCCCTACTGCTCAGCAGTATTCACTGTTCCTTTGGGTATCTTGACCAGTGTCAGAAACCATTCAGCAAAGCATACAATAACGACAGTTACAGCTCTCACCTGTCGGTGAGGGTGGCAGAAATGTAAACAGACTTTCACTAACCAAAAGGTAACTATGGAGAAGATGGGGTTTCTTTCTTCACAAGGATCCATGATGACAGGACAAGAAGTGATGGACATAAGTTGCTTCAAGGAAAACTCTGGATGTAAGACAAAAGTACCAATGCTGAGGACAGTTACACACTGGAGTAGGTTGCCCAGAGAAGTGACGGAATCTCCCTTGCTGGAAACATCCAAGTTTCAGCTTGAGAAGACCACAGATAACCTCTTGTAAGACCCTGCTTTCAACTGCAATTTGGACCTGATGATCTCGCTTTTCTATGATTCCTACCATAGCATTGCCTATAGCATAGAAATTTAGCCCTAGAAAGTGGGCTGAAAGCAGAACTGGAACCCCAGAAAGCTATGTTATGTATAAGTCTGACAGCTTTTGATTGCACAACTTCCCCCTCCATAGGACAGCTAACAGATGGAATTATCATAAGGCCTTGAAAGACTATTATATGCCAGATCTCTCATTCTTTTAAACACCACTGAGTTTCTTCATAATCACAAGTCATTCATCCTTTTGTTGTTGTACATGGTACAGGATGAACAAGTTATACTGAAGAAGCAACAGACAAGTTAAAGTACCATATGAACATGTGAAGTACAATTTCAATATCATCTGCCATTTCTTTCCAATATGTTTGAAAATAATTTTGTTCAGTATTCTTCGTGACCATATAAGTATGTATGCCATTTTATAGAAAGAGCCACCAGTCCTATGTTCCCATGAAAAAAAATCCTGTCAGCACAACTAATGGATGTCAGATTGTCCTGGGTCCAGCTGGGATAGGGTTAATTCTTCACAGAAGCTGGGAGTTGGGCATAGCCGGATATTCGATACCATGCTGACGTCATGCCCGGGATATAAGGGGAAGCTAGCCGGGAGAGGGGTCTCTTTTGTGAAGCTCGTGGTGGTGAGATTTTCATTGTATCAGTGTTTCCATTGTACTCTATATACTGTCTTATTGTTATATTCTCCTTTCTTTGGTTTTCTTCGTGTGGTATTATTAAAAATCTGTCGTTATCTCAACTCAGGAGGTTCCACTTTTTTCTTATTTGCCCCCATCTTACCGGGAGAGGAGTGGGGGGGGGAGGCGGTGTTGCGACCACGTGGTGGTGGTAGTCCTGACACCAAGACACAGATGAATAAGCTTAGAAGACCAAACAAGTGCACTGTCAAAACCATGTTATCAACCCACAGGTCTATTTGTAGTGATATTATACATTCCACTGCCTCCAGTCACAGCCCAGGATAATCAGAATCCATGTTCAGAGTCATCTGATCTTGCAAAAATTGACACAGCACAGCTAATAATCCACCAGAATTCAGAAACTGTACTGGATTTAAAAAGGCAGCTTTATTTTTGTGCCTTGCATTTGAGGCAGATTAAATAAATTGAAGAGGCAAGGCTATCAGGTCATTATTTGTATGTTACAGCTGTCCAGTTAGAGTTGACAGACATTCTTTGCATTGCCTATTGGCTGATTAAGGGGCAGAGTCTGACTCTGAGAGTCATAAATGGATGGGGGGCAGATGGGGGAGGATTGTGATATAGAAAAAAAAATCAAAAACTGATGGGGTAACTCACTAGAAATAGCTGCACTTCTACACAAGCCACAGATACCATCTAAAAAAAACACCATCACAGAAAGGAAACTGGATGAGCACATTACAGATTTGAAGTGGAAATCAGAGTGAAGTGTTTGTTACTGTTCTACAACAGAAAACTGGATTGAATCTTCTACAAGGTGAAGAACAAGCAAAGCAGAATGAAAGGTAAGATATTCTGATTAATAATGAAATTTTTCTGTTCTCTAAGTATTTCCTTGAGAAGCAGTGTTCATTTTAACTCCACATTGGAAGCTGTGTCTCAGTTTCTGAAGCCAACTGTTGCAGGTCAATGTAATGAACTGAAAGTATTGCTTAGCTTGCTTGCAAGAAGGCTGAATTATTTCAAGTGAATTCTACAACGCAGAATTCAGTGTTGCAGAAGACTATGTATAATTTAATTATAAACACAATTTCATTTTCAAGTGAAAATTAATAAGTAGTTTTTGATTTAAACTGTAGCCTCAAAAGCAAGCTTTCATCTATATATTTGTCATATTCAATGTTATAATCATACACTTATTACTTTACAATAGTATTCGCTGTTGCTAATTAGTGTTTGGTCTCTGTAAATCAATAAGCAGTATGTCCTTCAATTTCCAAAGGTTTCAAGTAGTAACTAAAATGGTTTGAAATGGCTTTACTCTTTTGAAATAGTAAACAGTAAAAATTATTTGATGCATCTCAAAAACAATGTTACAAAAGCATTTATCATTCTGACTTTCTTTAGTCAAAGAAAATCTAATTATTCAACATTGGATCACTTTTTAAAATTTAATTCTGTGCATATGAACATAGCTTTAAGTGGCACCTTGTTTTCAAAGTAAAATCATTAGCAAGATATGAAAGGTAAAAACTATTATTTCTTCAGTTAAAACTGACCTAAACATCAGTGAACAGAAGATAATTATAAATTCTAAATACTACTAAGAACTCCCGCCAACTCATTTATCTTTTTAACAGCTTCTTGACAAATGTTTGCTGATTGTATAGAAACTTGCATCTATGGGAAGTACAGCTGGCATTCAGATAAGGAAATTAAAGCAATAAGTATAAACAAAGATATTTTAAAGAACAAACTTACAGAATGTGTATTGCTGAAAAAGTACTGTTAACTGTTTCTATAGCAATGTCTTTGAAGCTTGTTATTCTTTCAGCAGCACATTAACTTAATTCTTTTTAGGTAGTACAATAAGTAAAAACACAGAAAAACAAAAGTTCTACTTGTCATTCTTCAGACACAAGATCGCTTTAAGTTGTTGCTACCACAAAAAGAAAAACATTCCAATTTAATAATTTTAGAAACGCTGTCACATTCTCTTCAAACATCTCTGTTCTGCTGATGGCAAATCCTTCTGAAAACCATTTGTCCTTAAGATAAAGCCATGGGAAGTACTTCATTTTAAGACCATGGAAGCACTAATTTCATTATGTATTATAAAAGTACTTCAATACTACCTGTAGTTCACTAATGTATTGTAAAAGAAATGAAATCTCTTTATGCTGTCTACATTAATGTTTATTGTGGAGCTGTATATCCTTTGCCCATATTAATGACCTGTACATTGCCAAAAGAAAAACATTTTAAACTAATTTTAAATCTTTCACTTGTGACACAGGTAACTGGCTTTTGGTTTTGAGTGTCATCTTGTTAATATCTGCAGCTCAAGGATGTCCCGACAAATGCCTGTGCTACACAGCTTCAAAGACTGCAGACTGCAAGAACAGAGGATTCACTGAAATTCCTGCCCATTTACCTCCTGAAATTCAGATCCTACAGTTGCAGAATAACCGTATCTGGAGAATCAACCAAAATGCATTCACAGGAACTCCGTTGCTTAAAATCTTAGACTTGTCTAATAACTCTCTCTCAAGTTTGGCACCAGGTGCTTTCCAAAAATTGCGGTATCTACAGGTTCTAAACCTAACCAGAAATTTCATTCATTATATAGAAAACAAGACTTTCAGTTTCCTCCCACACCTAAAAGAACTGGACTTGTCCTCCAACAGCATTATACGTTTGCCTGAGACTTTTGGAAACAGCACAGGGAATATAACATTGCTGTCTGTGAAGCATAACAAACTTCAGAAAATGGAAAGAGTTCTGCTGGAGTCACTTCCAAACCTGAAAGTAGTTCTTTTCAAAGATAATCCCTGGCAATGTAACTGTAATGTCTTTGGCCTGAAACTGTGGCTGGAGAGCTTTTTATACAGAGGTAAGGAATTCTTCTCATTAAGTATAATGAACATGACAACACTTAACCAGCATCTAAACGATCTCCACTACTATGGCTTAGCAATTTACTCCACACTTTAGACCATCCCCTCAAATAGGCACACTAAAATACATTCTTGCACGTAGCTCAGAGTATAGGTGCTTTCATATCTACAGGTGGCAAACTAGTATCATAGAGGAACTTCTTATCAGCACAAAGGAAAAGGTATGCACACAATCAAACAGTATCTACAGATACATCCAGGAAATATATATGTCGTGTGTGTATGCTTATATATCCATATCTATATCTATATATATATATATATAAAAATACAGGTACACATGTGCACATACACTTCCTTTAATTCTACCAATATTCTTTTGCTAGAAACTAACCTACTGTTTAAAAGCTTTTTACCTGATGCACGAGGGTAAACATCAGGAGAGATAGCAATACCAATTTCACTTTAGAGAACTCAGGATTCTAATTCCTCTATAAATTATCACTTAGCAGCTCTGTAATATTTTAAGAATACTCTACCTACAAAGGTATGTTGCACCCTGGAAAAGTTTACTCTTGCCTTCTATTGCTTCCTAATTCATTGACAATTTCCTGACAGACGTGTAATACCATCACATGGCGAAAAGTGAATTTTATAAATAAAAATAGCCTCATAATTTGGTCACACCTGCTTTTAAATATATTAATGAGTTATGCTGTGAAAAAATAGAAAATTATTTAATTCAAAAGGAATTAAGTATTAAAAGAAATTAATTTCTTTCTCCCAGGAGGTGTGTTCAGACCCTGAGATTTCAGACCAGCAGGGCAATTTGCTTTTCTCTAAATCAAGCTTTGATGCTTGCATGTGATCAAATTACTGATTACCTGTCTGCATATGGAAGTGACATGGCACATGGTCCATGTTGCCTGCGATTGAATGGGCTGCCATTTTCAGGCATCAGAAATCAACAGGCCAGCTGGAAAAGTGTACTGGCTATGCAAGGACACCATTAATACAGGAATAGTCTCTGGGTGAGGTAAAGCCACTGCCAGGAGTAACCTTTTAGAAAAGACAAAGGCTAAACTCCTCCCAGGGTTAAAATGTTACTATTTTGAATTGGTAAAATACTATGTTATCCCAGGGCTTTAGTTGTATTATGCTGGAATCATTCCCTACAACAAATTTCAGCAGGGGTTCTGGCTTCTCCATGCAGAAGAATGTAATGATCCAAGATAAACATATCAGATTATCTTAATTACTCTGCCAGCAGCGTAAGTATCATAATTTATTTCAAAAACCAACATTGTTTATAAATTCAGTGATGCTCTTCCATCTTTCTGAACATTGCAGAGATTACTTAAATGAAGTGAAACGGAACTTACAAATTCATTTTAGCAACAAGTTTTAAAGAAAGCCCAAATAGTATGTTCTCTTCTATGTTTATATTTCCCTAAAATTACTGGTGTAAATCACATGAAGAAAAATTAGTTACATTGCACATGAATCTTTCCCATCACATATATTACGATGAAATAGTGCTGTAGCTCTACAGATATTTCTTGCTAGTCCTAACAAAACATTGCTAGAGATGGAACCTAGTCCGAGTTTAAAAGTATTGACTGTTGTGTCCAATAAAACTCTAAAAGATTTCAGTATTTTCAGCTGAATCCAGCTCAGGCAATTGCCATTTGAGGCATACTTGTAAACAATTATCTTCAGTTCAGGTGGTACTACAGCCAGTAACATATTTAGTTACTTAAAACCATTGAAGGATCACAGTTGCAGGATTTGGAGTTTTATCTATATTCACATTCAAACTAACATATTGGAGGTGTCTGCAACCACGCTTTGGGTTTGGCTCTTAAAGACCAAGAGACAAGTAGCTATGCTCATATCTGGCTTGGAATGCCATCAATACTTGTGGAGTAGTCTCCAGATGTCAGTGTGGGTTCATCTGTAATCACTACTTTCTCAGACAAAGTCTTTTCAGGATTAAAATTTCTATGCCTGGCTTTAGCTGAAAGGTGGATTATTTTGGGCAGAGAAAGAAAATTCAGATGATTTTGTTAGTTAATTTTTTAAAATATGCAAACATTTTTTGGCCTTGTTGACTCCTTGACACACTACACCCCTAAAGCTGTGGTGTGCAGACCAATTAGAAACCTGAAGGCTGCACTCATTCTGTGTTGCTCTACACACTGAGGACCAACTGCCTGATTTACCAGGACTAAGGCTTCCTACTTCACGTCCCGTCATACAAAAGACATCCTTTGGAAGAGAGAAGAAGCTGTCTCTAAACAATCATGAAATTTACCATTTGAAAAGGATAATAGATTGATTAATCTTAACTCCTTTAGATCTCTGTATATTTTCTTACCCTGAGCCTTGCTTCAAATAAATTGCTCATATATACATACCACCTACTGAACTTTCTCTTTGCTTCATTACAGTTAGCATATGATGTCAGAACAATGACTATTTCACAGAATATTTCAACCAAGTGTGAAATCTTTACTAAGTACATTGTTTATTGTTTCCATTTCTCTTTATAAAAATAAGAAATTATGTGAATTTGAAAGGAATTAATTTTTTGTTAACAATACATCTTTGTTTTCATCTATGACAGTTCTTACTTTTATACCACTGTTGTTTTTTACTTTTACATCCATAAAATCATAGATAACTTAATTCCTGATGAATTCCTTCTTGCAAACTCTCTCTTATATAAGCGTTAAAGTGTAATAATCTCACCATTAATCTAACTGGAAAAAGAGCTTAAAGATACAGTTATAAATCTTTAGAAGTATAAAGTCAAAGGTGACGATAAATTTTCTTCAGGTTTCTGTTAATTTTACATTAAGATAATTCACAAACCAACAAATCTTAAGACATAAATTTAATTTTCTTTTTCCAGGAGGAATAAGTGATGGTATTATCTGCTCAACACCAGGGATTCGGAAGGGAAAGGACCTCCTCAAAGTTCCCTACGAGCTCTTTGGGGCGTGCCCTCTAAGGACAGCTCACATTCATCTGGCCAGCATTCATCACCACAGCTATGAGCACAGAAGTTCTCTGAAGCACTCTCATCACAACGAATACGGGGAAAGCCGCTCAAACTGTGAACCCAAACCAAAGCCAAGGCCTGTTAGTTTGCGTCATGCAATCGCCACTGTAGTAATAACTGGAGTTGTCTGTGGAATTGTGTGTCTAATGATGTTGGCAGCTGCTGTTTATGGTTGTGCCTATGCTGCAATTACTGCTAAATACCACAGAGAACATTTGGCCCCAGTCAGACAGCATGGGACTCCTGAGGAAAAAGAGCTATTTGATAGTTCCTTGGCTTGAGTTACTTTTGTCTTTGGTTTCTTGAAAATAAAGCCTTCACTTCAGTTAAACAGACTGGAATCTAAATAGGATTGATTTGGTAGTAATTACTGCTTTTTTTTCCTCTTTTTCACTTTTTTAATATAAATATGTATATTCTTTGGAATATAGATTAAGACTTTATGCAGAAGAATGTAAGTTTATTTATATTTTGGGTATGTATACTCTGAAGCTACTATTTAAGGCTGAGTGTTTGAGATAACAAAATCGATGCAACCACTTCAAAGTATTCCATTCTCCATTACTAGTTCTTGATATAATATTAGTACAACATAACAGTTATTGTGCAGCTACACTCAGCAGCCAACATGAGTGAGCTTTCTGCAAAGAAAAATACAAAATAGCTACAAATGACTGACTATATTTCAAGAACTTAGAATACCTAGTATGTATCCAGAAACTCAATTCACAACCAGTTTTAGAACTGGCCAGTGTGTACACTGCCACTGATAACTTAAACGTGTTACAAACATTTCCAAATACATTTTTTTTACCCTCCAATCTGCCCTAGAAGACAACAATTAAACATAACATCCATTATCTAGCTTAGGAAATAAGAAGTACCTAGTTAACTATCATGTATCATTTTTAAACTACTTAGTAGGGAAGAAAGAAGAGAGCTGAGGAAATGCTGAAGAAAGAAGAAATGCTACACTTGCAGATACAAGCACTGACATGAGCACGTATAGAATATACGAAGAGCCACTACCTGTTGTCCTGCTGGCACATAGGCTTGCTACAGACATTTCTGAAGCTTCTTATTCCCAACTGCGCACACAAGTGTTCCATATTTTGCAAATATCACAACTGCAGATGCAGCCCCCACCACAGTGCTGCCCTTCAGCATGAAGGATAATGCAGGTGCATGTTCACATGTTCTGTCTCACAGAGAGCACATTCAGTTGAATATATCCAAGAGTCCACCCTACCTCTCTGTAGCACAGTTTTGCCATCAGAGGAAATCAGAACCAAAACCCTTCGAGTAATATAAGTTTAGAACAGAAAGAATATTTTGAATGTGCAGAAGTATTTTTTAAATCATTCTTGGAAACTATTTTAAGGCAACCAACAGAGATCAGCAACTCCACCTACCTTTTCCAAGACTAGATAAAACACATCTAGGCTATTTTTGAGAGATGTCTAACGTGTTTTCTAAATCTCTCCAGTGACAGCGTCTAGGACTTGTCTAGGTAGCCAACGCAGAAATCAACTATGCATCTTTCTTAGCATCTATCCCAAACCTTTGGTGAAAATCTTGACAGTTTATTCCATTGGGCAGAAAACTTGAGGACAACGGCTGAGTAACAGTCAGCAATAGGGGCAAAAGGAAGCGGTGTTGTGGTATTCAGGGACCTCCGCTCTCCTTCCAACAGATGGATTCCAAGATCAGGTTCTGTAGCTATTCTAATAACAGCCTCATCTGAGTAATGGGCTACATGGCAGGAGTCATGTAACCCTTGCTCTTATCTACTTAGTAATAATTGCAGCCTAAATATTAAAGCTCATTCCTGCATCTGCAGTTACTTTCATGTCCAGAGAAAATTAAGCATCTCAGTCTTAATCTAAATCTAGCAGACATTGAAAACAATCAATTACTGTCTGTCCTTTTTTTTTTTTTTAACTGCTAAGTACTTCATGTTATTATTAGGCTCTCTTGATTCTTCTGTCCTGAACTAAATAAACCAAGCTGTTTCAAGTTTCCTATAAGGCCACATTCTCCAAACTTTTTTTTTTTCCCCTGCATTCTTTGGAACATTTTCAGTTCTACATTTTGTTTAAAATGTGGTACCCTAGATTAGGCACATTTCTTCAGCTGAGACATCATCAGCACAGAATTTTTAGAATATTTATATTCAGGATCTTTAAATCTGATCTCTTGAGGATGTATCTCAGAAGCAAATATACTATTTTTTTCCTTTCAAATATTTGATAAAGCTTAATGAATAATCTAATTTCAGAGCTAAGTAGTCTGAGTGTATACATCTACATTTTCTACTCATTTATCCATTTACTGCAATAACATTTTACAAAGCAAAACTTAGTTTTTCAGATAGAGAAGACTAAAGTAATACAGGATAGGATCTTATTGCCCATGGGCCAAAAAATTCTACATCAGAGCTTTTCTATGGTGACAACTTAAAATAAGTGTACTTGTACTCAAACTGCAGATCCTAAGATGAAAGCTAATAAACCTCTGACCTCCAGAGAGATTTCACCCACAGTGTTTCAAACATGCTCAGATACAGCAATGCAGTTTCCATCACAAATAATTTCACACTTCTGATATCTTCAAGCAAAGAAAAACAAGAACTGACTAGATATTTCCTAGTCAGGAATAACCAGAACATCTTTCTAGTCCTTAAAAACCCGTCCTATCAACAAAACCTTTCAGGCTTTGCTTACTGTAAGGTGGTAAAAAAAAAAAAAAAAAAAAAAAAAAGGTGAGGAAGAGGCAACAAAGGGCACAACAACATTTAAAGAAACTCTTTCCAAGTCACATTTAAGATGCTTTTGGGATTTTCATGTGCACATAAGGCTGTAAATTGACATGGAGTTCTGCCAGAAAGCCAAGTATTTCATACTTCCATTAGTTCATTCTGCTATGGGAGTAGAGCAAACCAATCCATGCAAAATCTGATTTATACTTTCTAACTTGCTGTTTTTGCTGAAGAAAAAACCCACTAAAATCCCAACAAAAATTTTTTAACATTTAAGACTATATATAATATTTACAAATGTGTTTGCAATTAACAAATCCCAGTTATTTATGATTATAAGCCAATAGCAGACATTCAACAGAGAAAAGTACTGATTCAATTGCTTAAATGAATATATGCAAAATTATTTATTTTTCAGTAGAAGAAACAGAATGTTTGACTACTGAAAAATAGAGATGAAAGACACAATTTATTGTCCATAACAATTATTGACTACAACAAGTGGAAGACTGGATCTAGGGATTCCCCACAGAACTGCCCTTAATTTGTAAAGCTTAGCAATGGACATCTGCTGCTGAAATAAGCTGTCTGCACAGATTTATTTTTCTGACAAAAGTCCCGAAAAAGCTTTGTTGTTTTTCCCACAATCTCATGAGAGGTATTACAGTGAACACAGTATTTTTTTCTAATTACTGTGAAAAACATTTTTCCCCTCAAAGTCAACAAAATATCAGGACACACTTTGCAAGGTATTTGCAAAGACAAAGTACACATATTGTTGTATTCCTGTCTTTCATATAGAGGCTCACCATATTACTTTGTTTTCAGAAAAAGAGGCTTTCTAAAATTTCAATTTAAAACAGAGATTAAAAACTACAACACACCAATATTCTTTACAGAAAATGTCCTTAGTATCTACATTGAAAGAATCAAAGCTTAAACTGAAACATACTTGCTTGCCTTATGTGTCTTTCCATCCAGAGCTTGCAAAAAATCAATCAAAATTCAGCTTCATTATTCCCTAGTAACACAAAGTCCAAACAAAATCAGGTTCCCTCTTCTTGAATATCAAAGTGGAACATTTAGTGACATTATACATAGCTTAGCTATCATTAACAGCATTAACAAAAAAATACCAACTGTTGCCTACTAATAACCATCCATCTTTGCTGGCCAGAAGACAAAAACACACAGGCTTTAGTTAAGCATCCAGAAAGTATGCCTACTTTTACAACTCTGATCTTTGAATTTGGGTGAAAGTGGCATAGTAAGAACAATCAGGAGACAGTCTTGGCACTTCGTGGGTTTATACTACCTGGAATGTGACTGTATGCTCCCCAGATGAGACAGGCAGCAACATCAATCATCTGGACGTGGCAGTAAGCCACAACAGGGCAGAAGGAGTAGGAATTAGAAGCCCATAATAAACAAACCAAGGACTACACACTTCATAGCTATCTACAATGAAAGCTGCGGTTACACTCTCTTACTGATTACAGAGGGATCCTCCAATGTTTTAAGGCCATGTACATACACTATGTGCTGAACCTTTAGCATAAGGCTGCCATCCTCGTTTCAAGACAAAATACACATATGAGAAAACATTGTTAACATTACCCCCACCACCACCATTTACTGGGAGGAAAATAAATTAGTTAATCCACAGTACTTAAACAGATATTAATGTATTCATATGCTACGTAATTGCAGCTTCATACTTGCAAAGCATTATTTGAAGATTTCAAAAGGACCTGACAGCTTATCTGCTGCCTTGTTCCGCAATCAGGGATTTATTTCGCTAGCAGCAGAATTATTTAGCAAGACACCACTAAGATCTGATTGGTATTAGATCACAAGGATCTTTCTCCTATCCAGACTATGTAGCACTAAAACCCAACCAACCAAACAAAAAATCCCAACAGCAAAGCAGAGGTGCAAAAGCAAAGAGCAGAATGCTCTATGCAATTTATAATACCTGTTAATACTACACATGTTGGGATACTGCTCTAATTCATCCGTCAGTCTCAGATTCTCTGAGAACAAGCGGTCAGGAAAGCCCAAGAATTAGATAAACAGGGGTTAAATTCTCAAGCCAACACTAGCAGGGAACAATATTTAAAAGCCCTCTTATTCAATTATTCCATTATTCCATGCACTAATTCTGTATGGTGAAATGACTTGAGAACAAACACAAATGAACACAATGTGTGAATGGTTGTGAATACGCCATCTAACTTCACATTCCCTGTTCAGTCAATGGAGAGAGGCAGGGTTTCACCACGTGCTCTGAAGCATTCTCGGGAGGAGCTTACCTCTCTCCAAATATTACCTACAAACCATGTTTCCTAGGCCAGGGATCCTAACCTAAGTCTGCGAGTTGCTTAATGTCAGACTGTACAAATACTCATTTCAATTTTCCTGAAACTGAAAACATTAGTCTATACATTAATATTAGATTTATGAATACAAAGATAATATTCAAAATGAACAAGAAGCTCAGGAAAAACATAAACTAGTGATTTT